TTTCCTTCTGTGTCGACTTCAAATTCCGAACCAATTTGGGTCAAACAAATTATTTTTGAATCAAATCAACTTTTTTTACATTTTTCTTTCAAAACAATTTCTTTTTGGTGCTTTTTCAATCCGTTTGACCTCAAATCTATTGACGGGGTGCATCGCCACATTTGAATGCACATTTTTCACTTCATGAATTTTCGCCATCTTTTGCTCCTTTGCTCCGTTGCATTCCATTTGCACAATCTTTTACCTTTTTGTACCACTTTTGACTCAATTTTTATTCTTTTTACAACAAGACATAACTTTTGTGCACTTTTACAATTATGAATAAAAGATATAAAAACCATTGAGAAATTGATTTGTTTAATCCAAAATTGGACCACAACACATTAAATATAGAGAAGATAAGTCCGTACAAAACGGACTTATCAAATTCTCCACACTTAAGCGTTGCTTGCCCTCAAGCAACTGAGTTCAATAACAAATGAAATTTTGGATCTAACACTTATTAAAAGGATTTTGGAAAAACTATTGACCACACTTTTAAACAGTTTATTGCACAAAACTCTTTTACAATATTTATTCTTTACAAAAATAGAATCACTAGAAATAGCACCCTTTTTACAAAAAAAAGTTAGCAAAATTTTTTTTTTCTAAAAGATGCACATAAATTAATTTTATTGGCTAAATGTAAAAGTTGTCCATTTACAAACTTGGATACTAAAGTCTAAAAAATTGTAAGTGTTTTATAATAACTGCAAAATAATTTAAGGTCAAAAATATGTACATTGAAAAACAAAATAAAAAAAACTTTCTGAAATTATCATTTATTCCTATGCAAAGAGTAAGTTTGAATTTTTTTGTAGAACATCACTTTGTCATGTTGACACAAGCAAAAACTTTGATCCTCATCTCATGACATAGAACCACGAGCTTTTTGGATTTTTATTCACTCAAAAACCTCATCACACGACATAGAACCGCATGCTTTTTGGCACTCACTTCAAAATAAGTCTCATCATCTAACATAGAACCAAATGCTTTTTGACTTTGAATTCACTCCAGAACTTGGTCTCACCAAAGTGTGTTCTTTGAATTTTTGACTTTTTTTTTTCAAAACTTACAATGCAATCATTGAAATATCAAATTTTCTGAAAAATATTCTGTTCATACTCAATTTGAAGTAGTGAAACAGCATCATTTTAAATGTCAAGTTACAAATGTTTGACCTTAACGTATTTTACGAGTTAATATTTATTCACTAAATCAATATTTTTTTTTACACATTAGTATCCAAATTTATTTATTTACAAAACTTATTAAAGTTAGCCAATAAAAAGACTATATGTGCAATTTAAAGAAAAGTTTTAAAATTTTTGGCAATTTTTTTTTTTGCATAAGGAGGCTCTTAAAAATAATTCTACCTATGAAAAGAGTAAAAAGTGTAAAAATTTTTTAAAAGTATCAATAGTGATAACTAGATCGATTCAGAGTATTCAGGATCGGGCAGAATGCTGCCAATTAGGTGCTCTTAGGCTCACCCGAATAAACCTTTCCACAGAATGACCCAGTAGGAATGGTGGGACAAGTTCAGCTCCCGAAGGCGTCACCCTTTGTGTCCACTTAAGTACCATTCCAGCTTAGACAGTCATTCCGTACACGGTGTAGAGATCAGTATTAATATGAAAAATGCAACAA